ATCCTTTTGAATACATGAATACATGTACATTCAATTGGTGTCTGGTATATAGAACATTGGACACTGCACATGAAGATTCATACCACATTCAAAAGACAATTGAAGTTATTCCAAAAATACAGTTTTTGGGTCTATTTTTAGGATCACCCTGTAGTATACAAGTATCTATAATTTTTATGGATTATATAACAAAAAATGTCTGATAATAGAGACAGTCTGAAATGGACAAAGGAGGAGTTCAGTGAATGAATATAAATGGTTGGACAAATGGACCAATTCAATGTAACCAAGTGAAAAACTAAAGAGTGCGTCTGAGACAGGGCCACTTCTAGAAATGTAGCAGCTGCAGAAGGACATTCTAAGTTCATGAATTGTTTCACATACATATTTCAATGAGTGCTTGATACAATTATTTCAGAAGTATATTTTTTTATTTCATATATAAATTTTCTTAAATGATCAAGATATTAGGAGATGCATCAAAAGTTATAGAATGTAAATATACTCAATTTCCAATTAACTATCTCTATTACTGTCTAAAAATATGTATTTGTATATTATCATTATCTAGTAAGGTTTTAGGTATGTCATGGAAAATTAACGTTTTTGTGATAAATTAAGCATATCAATGCATGTGAACATATAACCAAGATGGTGCTGAATAAAGAAAGTGATCTCTTGGCAATATGCAAAAATATTAACAATTATGAACTTATGATGTCCCAATAGGAAATCTAAGTGAAAATATAAAAATAATTGATAAGCTAAGAGAAGAGAAGATAATTTAAATCAAGCAAAGGGGGAGAAAATGAGCAAATGTGTGAATAAAGCATTTGTTAGAAATATAATCAAAATTATGTGAAAGTGATAGTTATTATTTTAGGAACTACAGTAACAGTCGGAATAAGAGCCCCATATTATGTTGTGAAGTGAAGTTTTGTCACTTTAAAAAAATGTAATCTGACCACAAAATATGTAGAACTCTTACTCCAGGAATTACCTTTCAGAGAAATATAGATATTTTTCCATTCTTGTCTGGTGAGTTGGGAAGTTCATTTTACTCATATCACTCATGATTTTATAAATATCATTCATATATAAAGAAACATGGGATACTTTAACAATAGATGATTATGTTACCTTGTTGATCATTTAATGATTTTTATATCTTAAAAGAGTCTAGGACCTTAAAATGAGTAAATATAGCATAATTAGAAATATCAGAGAAAAATTCTTTCATAGTTTGATGGTGAATGAGTAACAAAAAAGTAACAAAAATTCATATTTGAGTTGCTATTTGTACCATCCCCTAATATAAATCATTCTGTGGGATATTAACGGATATATTCCGCACTATGTTTTCTGGCTATCCAGTTTAAAACCATTTCATTCAGTTGGTGTCATCATTATTTGCTTATATCAAATGTCAAGGATATTTAGCTCAGTTGAATGGAGTATGACTTTTATCCACCCTCCGGATAATGTTTAACTTCATAGTATTTTTGTGAGAAAAGAAACGGGTATTTACTCCAAAAATATATCTAAAGTAGGTTATAATCTAAACATTTTGAATGAATATCATATGATCATAAAACAGAATATTTGACAGCTTAACATTTGATGAGTTTATGTATTTTATCAATATAGTTGAGAATTAATATACTGAATGTTATGTATTTAGAAATCACTAGGATAAAATTGACTTTAAAATAATAAACCCAAAATTAGACTTTTTGATTAAAGAATGAAAAAAGATGAGAAAGAGTAAAATACAAGAACAATTAGAAATCGGCAACTCCACGGAGTAGCAAACCCCAACAAACCCTATATAAATCGTGAATCTCTCCATTCAAAATATAGTATTTACCATCTATTCTTCCCTTCAATAAATACTTGAGATCATTATAGTACCATGTAATAAAGATATCTCTAAATAATGGTGAATTCCTGCTCTAGGTAGCCATTTTGAATTTTCTGAGGCACAAATCAAAAAACGATACCATAATTGTGATCTACTCTAAATTCCTTCAATATGAGTATAATATAGCCTTACTTCTAAGGATCAGAAAATTATTGCGAAATCCCACATTAGGCGGCCATTTTGAATTTTACGAGAACCGAACTGAAAAAAGGATACAATAATTGCACTTTACTCTGAATCTCTAAATTGCCTTTCATTTGAGATTAATAAAGCTATACTTCAAAAACATCTCAAAATTAAATTCTGTTCCCAATCCCCTATTCACAAAAATGAAAAACATTAGTTTTTTGCAAAAAAATTCCTGGCATTTTTAAAGCGGCGGCAATCTTGAAAACATTTTTTTTGGCGTAAAACTATTCACTAATATACTCTTTCCAACAAATATGAAAAAATCTGTCAACTAGTATTCAAGTTATCTTCAGGATGGAAGGATGGATGGACAGACGTGACGGACGGCTTCATTGTATCCCTACTGAACTTCGTTGGGATAAGAGTTGGGATAGAGCAAGTAAAAGTAAATGGAACAAGTAAAAGTAAATAGAGCAAGTAAAAGTAAATGGAACAAGTAAAAGTAAATAGAGCAAGTAAAAGTAAATAAAGCAAGTAAAAGTAAATAGAGCAAGTAAAAGCAGAATGAGTATGCATCTATTGTGCAAGAGTAAGCACCTTAAACAAATCTTTTTGGTCATCAATAAATCAGTCATAAACATTGATAGAGAATGTAAGTGCGAGCAACAATATGGACAGCATAGGTAATAAAGTATATGCATATAAAGAGATCATATACTTACAGGGTGGCACAAAAATGCAACTCTCATAATTTGGAATAACTTTTTTAATTATGGTAAACTTCAGAGTTTCTTTTGTGTAGATACTGGAGCAAGCTGTTGTGAATGATTTTAGATGAAATCATGCCTAAACAGACAGTGTTATCCCTCTAAAGTAGCTGCAATGTAAGTACATAGCTGTTTGCTCCGGTGAACACCTTATCTATCAAGATGGGTCTTTCACAATAGACAAAGTTATTCCAAAGTTAGAGGGTTGTATTTTTGGGTCACCCTGTATCTATAAAGCAGAAGCTAACTGGACCACAATTACCAATAATCATCAACTTAAAAGCAAATGACTTCTATTTTGAAGACAACATCAAATATGGTCAATAACATAAAGAAGGCAAATGAAAGTCCGAACAAAGGAAATCTTATTAATACTTATTTTCAAAAACATCTACATTTTAATATAGTAATCTATCTAAATGTATTCTGACAAATAATGCTGAATGCTATAGACACAAATCCACTCAACACTGTACATGTATTCTATTTGAATCCATAAAGCCATTATGACGTTATTCAGTTTTCTCAAACACCATGTAAATGCTAAACATATAAGCTCGGAAGCAAAAAACACACACACAACCATTGCATATTGGAACTTTAAGATTTCTATTTGAGATAAAAAGACTTCAACTTTGTTAAACAGCGATGAATGTTCGGATTCCATCCCTCTCAAGATTCCTTATATATTTTAGATAATATATTTAATCCCATGATAACGCATAGTTGATAATGAGAAAATGGTTACACCCTTGTGGCCCTATTAAGATCAAACACCTTCCTAGTGTGAGTGTAATAACAATCACCAAAAAAATAAGTAAAATTAAATGGGTAATAGAATTCAAGAAAAACATAAATCAAATATAATCAATATTGAGGAAAGCATGCTTTCAGGGCAAAAAGCATATATTTACTAAGCAATATATTAGTACCATATTAGTAACCTTTGTGAAAGCAAATTTGAAAAGGTTATAAACCATAAATCCCTAATCTTAGTTGTAGCAGATATGTTAAAAAGCTAAGCGAGGAATGCGCATAGGTTGGTGTGAGTTTCATAATTGTCCTGAACCAAAAGGCACATCAACAATACAACAACAGAGCATGGCAGATTCGAGTTATAGCATGCATTCAGTCCTTATATGGCCCTAATGACTATATATGGTAGGACGCTTAATGTATTCAAACTTACCAAGAACCAATAAACATTGAGCACTTGGAGTATCCACAATAATGAATTAAAGAAAATGTAGAATGGCAGGGGCCCAACACTGGCATTTATCGATTTATCTGCAAGGGCTGCCGATAACAGGATTTTCAGCGGGAACCAGTAAAGCCTAAACACATACCTGTGACCGAAAGAAAAATCATATATTTTAGCTTCAATTCTAAAAATGTACATGCTTTAGTAATGGCCTGTTGCAAAGATGGACTCCCTGCAGTAAAATGTGGCAAATAAGCAATGACTCGGTCAAATGATTACTCAATAGGGAGTTAAAATATCACACACATCCTGTCATAGAGAAGTCAGTATGGCAAGAATTCCTGTCATAAAGAGGTCATTTTGACATGAACATCTTGTCATATGAGCTTTCCTTATATCAACAATGACAAGAGAATCTGTCAAAATATAGATGTGCTGAAATTTTGCTGAAATACAAGTCCTTATGACAAAAATCCTGCAAAAATACGGAAATCTTCATGACAAAAAATCTTGTCATACAAATGCTACCATGACAGCGAATAAATTTTCTCACAAGACAGTACTTGTGGGAATGTTAAAAGCCCATTGTCTCAAAACACTGGAAATCCACGTTATGAATTCCAAAGCTGAATAAGCAAGAAATATTTTGTTAGTTTTTATTTTTAGTATGGGCTATAATTGTTGGTGCTGAATTGATAAGAGTGTTACTGCCAGATGTTTTACTCAAGGATGTCTTTGCTACAGGTCAAAATTGAAGCATCATTACAGGCAAACTAAACATGTAAGCAAGTGACAATCAACATCAGCCACCAAACTCTGATGCAATGGTGCATGCTTCTCTAATGTCTTTAAATATGAAACCCATACACCATAGCTATCATACTTAACTAGAGCCAAAGTACCAAAGTGTGTGAGCTGATGAATTGTCAATACATATATCACAATGCATATGACATCATAATGACATCACAGTCAGACTTACCGTGAACCAATAGATATTGAGTATTTGAAGTACCCACAGTAGGACATTGAAGAAGAAAAGGAATGGAATTCTTCCATTGGGTGCGTTAGTGATAACTCCCAGGCTGGCAGAGTGAAGAATCTTCAGAGGGAACCAATAGAGACGGAACACGTACCTACAATACTTATGATATTAACAGCACATCATTGCATACAGACTCAACATTAGGGAGCTTCGGGTACCTACTGAAACTTTATAGACTGAGGCTGGTAGTAAAACAACCACATCTAAACATTAAGTGTTAGTTATCAAATTATAATGAGGGCAGTGTCTTTTTTGCCATCTGAGCAAGACAAACTACTATGCCTCAGTCTAATAGAGTCCAAAACCTAGTAAGCACCCTTCATGGACCATAGTTGACTGTTAATGTGTCACATTCTGTTTTCAACTATATTCCTTTATCATGGGGGACCATTACAACTTTGGAGGAGACTTAACCTTTTGATTAGAATTCCCCCTGAAACATCTGGCCACAAATATCTTGTTTCTGACTACAATGTTATAACAGTATTCGAACTGCCAGACAAATGATACTTTTTGTGTCCAAATATTTTCTTATTCAATATTCAGTCGTGGATGGTTTTTGAAAATGGTTAGGTCCTCTCTCGGTATAATGGTTTGGCCTCTATCCAAACATATATAATAATGATGGCTCAGAAATCCAGCTGTGTGTTTCTGAATGTGAAATAACTCAGCAAGCAAAGAGTCTGTTCAATGTAAGACTGTAGATTACAGCCTCCCATATTGAAGCATTGATGAACTAATGCCTTTGTTATCACAGCTAAATGAGTGAACCATAAAAGGGAGTGGGTCAATTTCATAGTACACTGCAGCAAACTGAGCCACAACTATCTGAAACAAGATATAGAAATATCAAACAGGTGTATTGTCAATGCCTGATCAAGAGCATAATTTGTAATACCCTGCGCGCAGAGTCTAGTTAAACTACACTCTGCCTAGTAGAGACCATATTACAGTTTAGTAACCCCGCCCCCACGACGGGTACTGGTGACTGTTTGGGTAAATTACTTTTGACCTACTCGCTGACCTTCTACCAATCAGCGAGCTCGAAGAAACATACGCCAAATGTGTTCTAATTAAATATGCGCATGTCATTGGTCAATTTCGGGCTCAACGATGACGTCAGAAGGAATGACCATATAAAGAACTTCGGTCAAATTTGGCCGACGAACACTGATTGGTGCGGTGAGTTCAAAGGTTTATTTTAGTTTGAAAGAGTGAAGATGAAGCTCTCTTTTACGAAGTGAAGTCAAACGAATGCAAAGGGTAAATTTGTAAATAAGTTCACCAAGTTTTCTATCAAACTAAATGCCTTTTTTACTAACAAGAATGCAACACTGTAAATAAGACCGAACGTAACACAATTGATTGCATGTGTTTAAAAGACCTCTCTGATATGTTGGCTTGAAAATATGATCATTTCAAAACATATAAATTAATTTAGAAAAACAATTGTTCAGTGAGACCTTTTTAAGTCAGATTTAAAAGTTCAAGTCACTGGAAAAGTCTGGGATTCTTACTTATACAATATTTATCAGGTGCTTCATGTGAAAGCACTCACATCAAAGATTAAGCACTGCCATCAATAACCTTGCATTGACACCAAGTAATATGACATCATATGACATTATACATTAAAATCTGATAAACATTGACATTAATATGATCAGACATTGACATATTCCATTTATATTGTCATAGAGAATCTCTGTTTCCATAGAAACCCATCAGTATAGGTTAGAAATCTGTAAATATTAATTACCATAAATGTGCAGCATTTGATCTGAAATGATACTCATACTATTAAGCTAATTGATTAATTGTAGTGGAAAACATAGACAAATATCTTCAAATGACAGAAATAAAACAGAATGATGAGATACTTTATTATATCATTCTTATATAATCAATATTATATGCATATATGTGCTGTTCTATTAAATACACATGCCAATGTTTTAATTATAGCATCAATTCAACTTTTGAATCACTTCTGATGTTTATTGTACTTTGATTGCTATTGGCTTTATGACTCCTTTTCTTTGATAGTAACAACTTGTGTAGTTGAAGATATTTGTTCATGTTTCTTTTTTAATTCAAAACTATTGAACAACTATTAAAGCTACTCAGCCATAATACACTAAACATGTGCAACAACAGTTAATTCATGTCTTGCATCAAATCTCTGTTCAGCTCAACAATAGAGCCATTAATAAAATGGCACCTGAGAGTCAGATCTTGAAGTAAAAACTAAAGTAGAAATGAGTGAAAATAGATAGGTTTTGCACAACGGGTTATAACTAAAATGTGTCTGCAACCGCATTTCATTATAATTGAACTGCTAGGCATGGTGAATGCGTTACAGATTTTAGATACATTGAGCTCAAAACATTGTGCGAAATCTCTCTATTGTAACAGATTAAAAGACATTGACATGTGGTTAACACCCTTAATTGCATAAAAGTGACAACAATCCGAGTCTATATTAAAATTTTAAGAGAGGACTTGGGAATATTAAATGCGTCTAGAATGCCATTTCATCAACAGAGCTTTGGTGCAAGACAGTGTTTTATTAACATACCAGGTGCCAGCGAAAAACAGGAATCCTATAGTGGTCAGGTGGTCATTCAACTTGTGTATTTTTCCACCCCTCGTCTTTAGGTAGACGTTGCACTTGGTGAACTCGAGGCAGATGTCTGTGATGTCATGAACAAACAGAACCAGGACGCCTATCTTGTGGAACCTGAAGACAAAAAACAGGAGTTATTAGAATGAAATTTATATTATTATCAGATCTCTCTTTTTATTTATTTATTTATGATTAAATGCATGTGTGATGTTTACGAACAAAAGCATCAAGATTTTATGAAAAAGAAGAGAATAGAATATGTATAACATCATACATCCCCTTACTTTCCCGAAGGATATATGTGATGTCATCTGTACGCTCGCTCGTGCAGATATCATATCCATTCGTGGATAAAAATCATATCACTCATAAATCATAGGATATCCTCTATTTACATAATAGCATATTACATGTAAAACAATGTATAAGAATTCAGATCAGGTAATTCACAGTTCATGTATTGCTGAATCCTTTCTCAAACACTTAGAATACAATACACAAAAACCAAAACCTAAGAATCTGTTTTGAGAAATAAATCAAGTAGAGATTTTTTCTTTAAAAAACAATAAATAATGAGTTCTAGTGTTACTATCGCAGATGGTTTTTCATTTCACAACATTGAGAAGTTAGACAGGCAGTAAACAGAACAATTGCACTAAAACCTTAAAAATCGCTTATCTCTGTTATAGTGTAAAGTCTTATTCTACAGTGATTGAACTCCATAGAGGACACTGTGCTAAATATATATAAGTAATACTGTTCAAGGCTATACTTGGATTAAATTCTTTAGAATGAATAATCTTCCTCAAATAATTGACTCAAAAATTTATTTGAACATGCTAATAATATGATTGTTCATAAAAAATATCAACCTGATCCCATCCCCATATATGTATATCTTCAATTGACACTAGATCCCATAACCGGACATAAACCCTAACTAACTAAAAAATATGATTTAAAACTACACCTTGCATTCTCCAGGGAGCTAAGAATTTTATTTAGCGTTTCAAGATCCTGTAAAGTTCTAAACAACATGGAACTTGTTGAAATGTTCCAGTTCTAAGGTACCAAAGAGATCCTGTTCTAATTTACAAGTATATAAGCTGTAAATAATTTGTTTTGATTTTTGACTGCATATTCTGATTGAGTATATACTCAATAAAATTTTTATCTCAAAATAAAGACTATGAGGTTAAGTTATCAAAAAATAAGATAGCCAGCGTTCAAGCTATAAATGAAAATCAGGAAAGATGAAGAGTAAACATCCTGGTTCCAGTGGCCCAGATAATCTCAAACAGAAGTGTAAGATGATTATGGTGATCAACAGATGTTATTTGATGTTAACTGTTAACCATTGTCTTGCTAAGAGACCTTGCTCTTCAGGACTTTGCACTCACCTTGGATTGAAGGATTGATGAGTGAAGTCTCATTTTACTATGTTTTATTTCAAGCAAGATTTGTATATGACAAAGATTAACTTTGAAATTGCTGTTGCTAGTATTAGGAAATAATAAATAATAAAAAAAATAAATAAATAAAAAAAGATAAATTGGTCTAAAGAATGTAAGTCTATAGATATTGCAAAGTGAAATAAGAAACTTTGAGACATTTCTTGACATCCTCTAAGTCTTGCATTAGCGCTACCCCCATATCTATTTCACCTCCTTTTAGCCATCAATCAAATAAGGTGACTGGGTTATCTATCACATGCTTTGAAAATATTTAAGAGCATATAAATAGATAGTACAAATGTATATATTGCAATGTGAATATTGTTAGCAATATCAGCTCAAATATCCAGGCCAAAACATCAGCTCAAAGTTCCAGGTTAGGATAGGTCCAAAAAATCTTAAAAATCTTTTTTAAAACCCTATTCTTTTTTAAAATCATCTTTTTCTTAAAGCCCTACTCTATCTAAAACCATTATCTTCTTAAAACCTTTATCTTTTTAAAAGCCTAACTTTGGAGTTCCCAGGAGATTATGATACAAGTTGGAGCAACTGAAACCTTATGAATCAAGATATAACCATCTCTAGTTCAACACCCCCATCCTCAATCACCACTCAAGTATAAAAAATATAGCAGGCTATATAGTGTGAGGTAACAATGAAAGATCACGCCATCATGTAGAGAGCACTGTCTGCACTTAACAAACACATTCAAGAAAATCCATACTTTATAAGGAATGTATGCAATGTTGCATGCTGTTCAAAGAGTCATGTATGCTCTTCTATTGATAATTCTTTATTTCAGCAAAGGTGAATAAACTAGTCTGCTAATATTGATCTCTTTTGAATGTGAGAGAAGTCTCCTACTTGGTAACCCCCCCCCATACCTTTCATAATCCTTTCCCTAGTATGGCTCAGTCTTTACCCTCTAGTAGGTTAACTGCCCATAAAAATGCTACTTAGCCAAAACAGTTTCGTTTTGCTCCTTTGAAAGAGAGATTAACCTTTGGACCTCTCTATCTACTTCACCAACACAACATAACTTGTTAAGAGGTGTGTAGGTTGGAGGGGGCTTACAAGGGCTTGTAGCAAGACTATTATGTACTAGACTCTAGTACTAATAACTCAACTTGTTATGAGGTGTGTAGGTGGGAGGGGGCTTACAAGAGCTTGTAGCAAGACTATTATGTACTAGACTCTAGTACTAACAACACAACTTGTTAAGAGGTGTGTAGGTGGGAGGGGGCTTACAAGGGCTTGTAGCAAGACTATTATGTACTAGACTCTAGTACTAATAACTCAACTTGTTATGAGGTGTGTAGGTGGGAGGGGGCTTACAAGAGCTTGTAGCAAGACTATTATGTACTAGACTCTAGTACTAACAACACAACTTGTTAAGAGGTGTGTAGGTGGGAGGGGGCTTACAAGGGCTTGTAGCAAGACTATTATGTACTAGACTCTAGTACTAATAACTCAACTTGTTATGAGGTGTGTAGATGGGAGGGGGCTTAGAAGAGCTTGTAGCAAGACTATTATGTACTAGACTCTAGTACTAACAACACAACTTGTTAAGAGGTGTGTAGGTGGGAGGGGACTTACAAGGGCTTGTAGCAAGACTATTATGTACTAGACTCTAGTACTAACAACACAACTTGTTATGAGGTGTGTAGGTGGGAGGGGGCTTATAAGGGCTTGTAGCAAGACTATTATGTACTAGACTCTAGTACCATCAGGTAATATAATATACAGTGACTGATACAGAAGAACCATGATGTAAAATTATTACCACCTTGCCGGGCCAGTTCTAGGGGTTTTAGTGCTATTTTAGAAGGCATTCATTTTACTATATCGACCTGAGCAATATGTGACGTCATAGTGGTGGTCAAGAATGCATTTAACGACCGGTCGAGAATGAATTTAACGACTGGCAATTTTCCCCGGGAAATTAGATATCGTTCAGTGCGTAAGATTTTCTTGCTGTTTCAGTCCTGGTCATTAACGGTGGTAGTAATACTAATAAACGTCATTTCACTATATTGCCCTTCGAAATGCCGTTATTGTACTATTGGTTAGATGACCAATTTTCCATACTGTATACTATATGATAGTTGTTGCTGAAGTTGTTGCATGGGTTAAAGATGATAACATTCAAGGCTAACAACCTTAGGCGGTCATATAAGGTTTAGGTATATATAAGTTTATATCTTGTCAATATTAAATCAGAGTGCGTTATCATTAAATATGTATGAAGAACATGATGTTATTATCATTAGCACTAGGTTATTGTTTTTTAACACCCTAATATTGATTTACAGAATATAATCTACAAGTAATAACATAATGTATAGGGGTTGTTAAATGTCAAGGTTCAAATTGACTTTGATTATAGTCATGCTTCAGGCCCTTGCGACTCCCTGACTCTCTCCTTAATATCTAAGCTCCAAGAGAGGTGAAGTAGAGAGGAGGGATGTCTAAAGGTTTGGTGCAAGACTTAAAAAATTACACAAATTCTAGCTCAGGTACTCAGTTTTTAGCTCAGAATTTATGGTTGATAGTTGATTTTGCAACTACTTTGAGTCTGATTATGCCCTTCCAAAGGCTCTCTTCCTTACAAAAATATTTCAAACAAGCAAACTAGACAAAATGTCACAAACTGGGTGCAATTACAAATTGTAACCATTTGTTACAGATGTTTAACACCAAAATAAGAACCAACATACGATATCCTAGTCACAAAAGGGTAGCCTGAACAATATCAAAAGCGATACACATGAATGAAAGGGACAATATGAGGAAATTCTACTATTTCTAATGAGACTAGGTTTCAATGCAACATACTGAAACGCTCACTGAAGAATCTGAATAGCACTATATAATACTAGTTATTAGTTTTCTAAAAGCTTGATGTTACAGAAACCATATTCTTTCCTCTGGACATTCAAGCAGACAGGTACGATAATGAACGTCATAGTTCTGTCTTCGGGTATATTATTTCTGTTTCATTCCTGATGTCTGTAAATGCCTGATGCATAACTGATGTGAGTCTATTCGGCATGATGCACAAATTCTAAACAAAGTACTTGAATTGATTTACTCATGAACGAGATACGAGAGATACGTAATTGAAGTAATCATCCATAACCTGCACTAGAGGATGAATATAGGATGATCTTAACTTTTCATCAGTTACTTGACGTTTGACATATATGCTTGATGTTTGACATGAAAATGAACAGCAATGAGAACATAAGGCATTAACATGCAAAGTGTCACTACCTGCCATTTGTAACAGATGCTGAACTCCAAATGCTGACTGCCTGACACTGAACAACATTCACAAAGACATTTAATAATATTATAACTATATATAATATATACTTTTTTATTATATACCTCAAATGTATTCTAGATGCTCATTGGCTTATTCATGGTCACATGACATGGAATAGATGAACTAATTCCCTGGAAAGTCCTAAATCCCTGCTTTCAGGGAAGATGAATTGTACTAATCACCAGTTAGGTCATGTGACCAGTCAATAGTACGTTTTATCTTCCCCCAAATCTGAGATTATAGAAGTTGAACAGTAAAATGCCTTTAAATGCCAATAAGAACCTGTGAACGTTTGATATTGAAATGAAAAGACTTCTCACTTTGTTTTTGTTTACAGAGTACTTATCGGGGATATAATAAAACAAATAGTGACTGCCACATTTTCGGGAAATAGTGTAAAAAATTTCCTCTCGGGAATATCCTGTCCACTGACTTGTTCCCTCAGCCTGCAGCCTCGGGAAGATGTCAGTGGACAGGATATTCCCTTGAGGAAAATATTTTGCACTATTTCCCTCAATGGCAGTCACTATTTGTACAATATTATATTATATATATAATACACCAAATTTCGTGTGGTCTTACACAAAGTTCATGCCCCCTTCTACAACTTACTCATATACGTAACCTGTAGAAACACCAGAAAACCCTCAAAAAGATAAAAGCACAGACCTGTTTCATGTTTATCTAAATGTTACTAAATACAATGATGATGCCATTGCTGTAACATTTCAAGATGTTTTATGAATGGCTCTCTACTTTACACCTCCTTCTTCCACTAACCACCTGACAAGATAGCCAGAAGCATCTAACAAATTACAAACAACTACACCAGGAACGTGGCCAGATTTCTCCTTGTTACTTTACTCCCAAGAGGGTGATTATTTGGCATAATTGTTTAGCAGGATTTCTTTAGAACCAGCAGAAGACCAGTGCAGAATACATAACATGGTAGTGTGTTCAAAAACCAATATATAATCTAACATAGTATGTCATTCCCAAACCCCATGTAGAATTAATGATATCCAAAGACCACATGTAGGTCTTGAGATATTTCATGACCCTTAGTAGAATTTATGACACTTGGGACATTTCAAGAAGTCCACTTCAAGACATTCCAGGATTACATGAAGGATTACAAGATACCATGTGGCACCCTTAGATATATGATAGTTGTAAATGCTAAAGTGTAAGATTTGAAGGTACCCTAACACAATACATATGTCAGTATATGGTATCCTAGGAGTAGGACGCTGCTTGATATTGCTAGACACTGTGCTAGTAATTGATCTGACCAACTAATTACTGAATGATAATGATCTAACATATGCCAGTATGACAGTAAACAGGGGAATATGTGAGAATGGGGATAGTTATAGCATAAAGTATTTTAAAAATATATATAATATATTAAATGTAACTTTTGGTACAGATTTTTTCAATTATTTGGATTTTAATCGTAAACATGCAAAATGTCACTACCTGCTATTTGTTACAGATGCCAACCACCGAACACCATCCACAAAAGAGTTGGAGACCATAACAATATGTCACCACTTGTGGTGGTGACATAAAAATAACATTTATTTCAGATACTGTGTATTAATCATGATCTCTCAGAGTGCATATATACATAATGTATATGTATACATGTATGTCAATATTAGTATGTCACTATAATAAATGTGAGTACAGCATATCAAATCTGCATATAGGGTACCATAAGCGCTTATAATAATATGATCATATTCCTAAACAGTTCATTAATTAGTATAAAATGATAAATTGTATATGAGCATATCAGTTGGATCATACCTCAATCCTTATTAGATGTATTTCAATCTAATTAGCAGTATTTTAGTATTTTGGTTTGTGTAGGCATTACAATGTTATATACAACTCTCATGAGAAAAAATTAAAATATTCTTGTTTCATGCAAACATGCTCATATATCATCAGTTTCTGCACCAAATTTTGCATGAAATCCTGAATTCCACAATATATCCTGCGAGCATACATATGTATGCAAGGAGGAAATAATAAACAAAGAATTATCTAATTGTTCCTTCATTTTGTTGCAGTATGTTAGAGATGTGGGGGGGTGGGTGTCACTCACTATCTATGAGTTACTTTTCCATGTAATATTTGGGTAAAGCAATGACGATGAATGTCTCAATTAATACATCAATGATATTGTCAGTAAATATACCCTTAGCTCTGGAACAAGAGGCAAACCAAAGATACCAAGAATGAGTGCTTGAAAATGTGTGGTTGAAACTAAAGAAGGATGCTGACTGTTATAATCTGAAGACAAATCACAGGTACAAATCTTATAGGAAAATGAACAGTCAGCAATACAGCTGAACGCACATCACAATGAAATATCCCAAATTCAGATTACACCTTTCATATATTGTGCCCTCCTCATTGGTAGAATCTTATGGGACTATGTTTTTGAGTGAAAAAACTTTTATTTGAATATAAGAGATACTAACATGATCCCTGAATAAAGTACAATCTGATATAAATGGGAACATCCTAGTCTGTAACAAGACTAGATAATGCATTAGTGTTAATCAGTGACTAAACACCCATTGTCTGTATGACTCACTCATTTAACTCATGATGATCTAAAGCATCACAATCCTCACAATACAGTTATAGGTTTGGCTAATGCAACAAAATTACATTTAGAAACTGTCTCCCAGAACTGAAACAACTTGGTGCTGCAGAAAATTCTGTTAATGCAGAATTCTGCTCAACTAAAAATCTTTTTGCATCAAGTCATATATTTGAAAATGTAAAATTGGGACAGTCTGAACAGTTTTAGACATTTCATAGTCAGGATTTGTAAAACTATTTGAAATAAACCAAAAATAAAATTCTTGGGAAAATGCTGTTTAAACTAACATTCATCAGGATAGCATAATAATATAATGTAATATGCTTGAGGATCTAATTTTCTTCCAGAATGAGTAAGCTAAATGTGAGTCCTGGCCTGATGAATGATTTGCTGGAAGCTGATAGTATCAGATACTCATCAGAGTCTTCAATTAGTTGTTCATATTACAAGCTGCAGAATAGAAACATGTGCTCAGCCTGAAAAGACTGCAGATGATCTGGTTTATTATGTCTGGTGAGTGATCTTAAAAAAAAATGGAAGCATCTGGGGACTACTGGGTGGATTTGAGTACACGTGCACCCAGTCAGAATTTGAAGATCACTGTGCCTCCATTTGAAAATATATTGCCCCCATTTGAAAATGTATTCCATTAGCACGTTGAGACTTTAGAGGGGAATAGGCTGGAGATATCTGCTCTTATAATCACTGGCCATATTTCTACATGTCCTAATTTACCAAAGCAACAAAAATTTAATCATCTCTCCTCCTCAGAGGCTAGAATTTTGCACATAGCTTCTGGATTTCAGGGTCGTTGAATATTGGTCTGGTATTTACAGAAGTAAAAATAGTCACTTGTAGATATTAATAAACTTGTTCTGATGTATATAACTGTCTAGTCTATACTCCTCACAAGACAAAACAACAGATTTTCAACACCTTACACATGTATGAGATCCTTCTCTTATTCACAACTAAACAATTCGTTATAAGTAAATCCACAAAGGTGAAAATCTAGTCCTGCATCTATACTCTGATCCCCTTCTATTTCAAGTTATTTACTCTGGAGGTGAAATGTGTAGCATTAACTTGTGTTTAAAATCAATTAGCATAAAAAAACATAACAAAAAAGGTTTCAGATGGAACTTCTGATATTCATCACCTGAGTTAACAGGGTGTACAAAGAGGGTTTCACATTCATTACTTTGTACAAAGAGGGTTTCACATTCATTACTTCGTACAAAGAGGGTTTCACATTCATTACTTTGTACAAAGAGGGTTTCACGTTCATTATTACTTTGTACAAAGAGGGTTTCACGTTCATTATTTTGTACAAAGAGGGTTTCACGTTCATTACTTTGTACAAAGAGGGTTTCACGTTCATTACTTATCCCTCATTTTGTGTCAACGAATATATGTTCATATTCAGTAGAGTTTGTGTAAGCAGAACATGATGTGATAACTCAAATATTCAGCTGGGAGGGGGATTTCAGATTACAGAAGACATAACGTTATAATGGGTATAAGGACTTAAGAAAATGTACAGGTTTTACTGAACTATATTTTCTTACCTCGCCGCATATGAGAATCCTATAAGAGACAGAGTAAGGAAATGGTGGAACATCATCACTATGGAATCTTTCCTCCATTGGTCCATGTAGAGTGTTCCATATACAGAGTGGAGGTAGAAACTACACTGTACCATGTACAAGGCATACATATCCCATGGTACAAACATGCCAGGTGACCAGTCTGAAAATAAGAACAGAGGATTTTAGTACAGTATACAGGGCGTTCATAAAGTTCTTGCAAAAGTCCTCTAAGATTTTTGCATCTCAGTCAATCTGGCTGAAATTTTCACTCAGTATACCTACACTATTCATTCATTGAGATCCTAAGTTATAATTAATGGGTCCTTGACGAAAAAAAGTTATGGTTGCTATCGTCATATCAATCAGGGGTAGGTGGAGCAGGCAAAAAAGGATCTGTTCTGTTTGAATGTTCAAAATGTTTTTAACTTGTCCTATTTACTTTAATAACAGTATCTCAAGAGTATAGGTGTTCAAAATAGTGTCCATCGTGGTCTATACACCTCTGCTGTCTTACTTACCATTCCTCAAATAGATGGGGGAACCATTAGGAAAATCTGATTGCGATTGACATTTGTATGGATGGCTTTCATCTACGTCATCTGATCCTCACTGGATTTCGTTCTTGGACGGTCTGATCTAGCGTTGTCCTTACCATTTGTTCTACCATCAGTAAATGTCTTAGTCCATTTTGTAAATGCTTCATTTGGACATAGCCTACTTCCAAAACACCTTATGAATGTCATCAAGTGTTTGTTTTCTTAGATTTCCCAGTAAAACATACATCCCAATGCTACTGATTATTTGTAATTGGAAATCATCATCTTTTGCTGATTTTGAAGCCATTTCCACGAAAATAAAATTGACGCTACCTTTCACAAAGTCCGATATCATCAACCAATGTAGGTCACTAGGAAAATCTGATTGCGATTGACATTTGTATGGATGGCTTTCACTTGTTAAACCACTTACTTTGGGCTGACGATCTTATTTTGATGTCAAATAGTAAAGATGGCGCCCAAACTTGGCTCAATTGTCTTTTTGATTTTTGTAAGAGATATCATCTTATAGTTAACACAATAAAGACAAAATCAATTGTTTTTAACTCAAAATTTGATATAGTTTTCACATTCAATGATAGTGCAATAGAAAGTGTTGAGCAATATAAATACCTAGGATGTGTATTCAGCAAAACTAAGAATTTTGACCAGCATGTATGTTATCTAAAAGAGCAGGCAAGAAAAGCTTTGTTTAAAGTTAAACAGCAATATAAAAAATTTAATGACATTCCAGTTAATCCTGCATTGCACCTTTTTGACTCTTTAGTTGAACCTATCCTAACTTATGCTTCAGAGGTGTGGATTAATGAAAAACATCTTAAGACAATAGAGACAATGCATTTATCTTTTCTTAAAAGTTTATTAGGTGTTAAAAAATCAACAGCAACACCAGCAGTCTATGGAGAATTAGGACGTTACCCATTAAAAATACGTTTTGAAATTAAGTTAATTAAATATTGGCTCCGTTTAATTCATCTATCACCTGGAAACATTCTTCATAAAACATATACGCATGACCGTGAAATGAGCCAACTGGGTTTTAAAGGCACTTGGTCAAACAAAATCACTGATATTTTGAAAAAATGTGATTTATTCTCATATTGGGAAACTCAAAAGATCGATGATGATTATATTTTTATCAAGATGATAACAAAAAAACTGTACCAGAATTATAAGTCTCAGTGGCAGAAAGATATTTTCAAATATCCTGTTTTAAGAACTTACATAACATTCAAAAATGTCTTTGAAAGAGAGGGTTATTTAAATATACAAAATAAAAATTACAGACAAGCAATAAGTAGATTTAGGCTTAGTTCACACAAATTACATATAGAAATTGGTCGTCATTTGAAGCCTAAGCCAAGACCTTTGGATGAACGTTTATGTAATATGTGTGGTATTTTAGAAGATGAACAACACTTTATCATGGTGTGTAAGAAAAATACAACAGAGAGAAAACTTTTGTTTGACACCCTTACGCAATTTAATTTTGAAGGAAGTCCTAACTTTATTTTCAAAAAGCTTTTGTCTCATAAAAATTCTTATGTAATTTTACATCTAGCAAAGTTCATTTATCATTCATTCAAAAAACTGGATTAATATTGTAACAATGATACATCACACTGATGTTTTAAATTCTGTCATGTTGTATCTGTATTTTACAATAATCTCATTTTTGTATTTTACATTTTGTGATGCTGTAATTGTATTTTACAACTTTGTATATTTCCTATGAAGTAGTTAGTTTAGTCTTAGTTTAATTTTGTATATTGTAGTTTGTAGTGACTAATATGTCATTGCAATGACATCAGAGAGTCAATAAAAGATATATATATATATACCATGAGTGATGTCATGAATCAAAGAAATTTCAACTATGATGTCATCATATGACATCACCTAGTGTTAAAATGGCAACATTGGCTTGTTTTGTATTTTCAAGAATACTTTAAAGTATGTTAAAGTTACCTCTAACCCATATTTTTTATCTAAATTTTTCTTTTTTTCAATGCTGCTCCGCCTACCCCAGACTCATGTTACTCTTGCAATCATAACTTTTTTTCTATTCATTATAAATCAAGAATCAACTGTAAGAATAATGTAGGTAAAATGAGTGAAAATTTCAGCCAGATTGATTGAGAAACCCAAAAATTAGAGTACTTTTGCAAGAACTTTATGAACGCCCTGTATATCAAAATTAGGTATTTGCAATAACAATGGATTTACATTTAAACAAGTGTTACTACATGTATTTAATAGGAGTTATCATTCAGTGGGTGTGTTTATATGCAGTGTGTTCACATGAACACTATAAGGGGAGTTCTTATTTACTTAAATCAATTATGAGAAATACATATTTAAGAGGTGTTCATATAACATAGGTTTTCATCAGGGTGACATCGAGATTTTGATCCTTTAGTGGGTACAGCACCCGGATGATAGATGCACGGTCGTTCATGTATGGAGAATTCGAGCACGACTGTGCTGCATTCTGATTGGTTGAGAAACTCAATTAGAGAACAGTCATGTTTGAATGTGGGACAGATCACATATATACTGGGTGTTGACTTTGGAGATTTCTATGCATAAACATCAAGATGTGTTCACTACATGTATATTCTTCAGCAACAATATTGAGTCATTTATAGAGAAAGATATGCTGGTGGATGTTATCACATATCACTCAATCATCCAATGTCTTGTTCTCATTGCCTATAATACATCCCAGCCACTCCATACTTTACCAATTACTGGCATACTTAAAAATGACAACAGAAAAATGTGTTCTAGATTTACTCAAATGAAGAGAAACAAACTTAATATGTTATGTCATCTTAACCTGTCATGAAAGGTTCACCCTAAACTGATTACTATGGGGACCAAGTCAATATTTCATAGTCGTTCTAAAATGTAATAATTTGACTACTACATTTTAGAAAAGTATAATCAAACACTGATATACCCAATAAAACACAATGCACTTTTACCCTCTCCCTAAAACATCACTTACTATATTTGTGGACATTTATCAACATGTTGGCCTTGTCCCATACTTATTCCAGGGTCAAACTATATGCATCTCTGACATCTGTACAGTAAAAACTGTACTATTCATTTATAACATGATAATTTTCATTTCCCCAACTGCTTTACTTTTTACCTCTACCTCTTCCCCTCATCAATATACGGGCAAGGTAAAAATTTACATGAGGGAGATCATTTCCGTAGCCAGGGGGTTTCGAACCCCCCATCCCTTTGACCAAAGATTCATTCAAAATCATGCAGTTTTTCACAATTTTGGTCATTTTTGAGCCAAAGATGTGAAAAGTGAACCCTCTGAAATTTTTTAAAAAGTGACCCCCTTGGCAAATCCTGGCTACGGGCCTGGAGATTCTTAAGACCACCCTGTTTACACAGGCTGGTATCAAAAGATTTGTCCGCTGTGACGGAGCATGCTATTTTTCATAAAAACACTAAGAATGCTTCACGATTTATTTTTTAACTCATATGTTTCGTTATATCAAAGATAATTACTTACTCCATGCAATGGATATATCATTTGCGTGTAACCTTCACTTCTGTTCGAAGTCCAATAACGCTAGGAGTAAAATCTATTGAAAACGGTGCCAGAGTATCAAACTCTAAAATGTACCATTTCTTTTTTAACTTTTTAATGGCATGATATAGTGATACGATAATATTAACATATGTTTTCACCATAAGTCTGAATTTATTAATGAGATATTAATGCATTGGGTCTTTTTAATGTTTTTATAAAAAATAATATTAATATTTTTTGTCCGCTGTGACGGAGCATTTTCACAGTTCACATTTGCAACTGCTCCGTCACAGCGGACAAAAAAAATCAAACATTATTTTTTTATAAAAGAATTAAAAAGACCAAATACATCAACATCTCATTTATACCTTCATAGTTATGCTGAAACCATGTGTAAATATTATCGTGTCACTATATCGTGCCATTAGAAACTTAAACAAGAAATGGTACATTTTGAAGTATGATACTCCGGCGCCATTTTCAATAGATTTTCTTCCCAGCGTAATTAAACTTTAAACAGAAGTGAAAGTTACCCGCAAATGAAATATCCATTGCATGCAGTAAGTAATTTTGTATGGTATAACGAAACATATGAGTTAAAAAATAAATCGTGAAGTATTCTTAGTGTTTTTATGAAAAATAGCATGCTCCGTCACAGCGGACAAATATTTCGATACTAGCCTGTGGTTTATAGAGGTTCATTATTATGCTGTGTGACACCAAATATAACTTTGAGGGATTATTCAACATTCAAACTGTTCAGTACAAACATTGTTTACTACTTATGACATGTGAGGTTAAATGCTTGTCTTTATGATCAATGGTTTTTTTTTCATTTCAAGTGGGTGCAAATGGATTTTGAGGTGGGTGCTAATGGATTCTCAGGTGGGTGCAAGCCTGTTTTCAAATTCTCAGGAAGTGTAATGCTGGGAAGATCACTGCATCTGACCAGTGAGTATTTAAAAGTATTTTTGAAAAAGTTAAAAAACCTTAATTAGGACTAAGGATAGGATCTAATCTGGATTCTACAGCTTCTACTGTCTCTTAAGGGAGAGCAAAAGCCTAAAGTGAGACTGATAAATCTGAATTTTAAGTATCAACATTTATAGGACATATTTACTGCCATCTAATTAGCTCTTTTGTATATAAGGGGGTCCTTTAAAGTATATTTTTAGATTTTTTATCCAGTAAAATTAGACTATTTATGACATCTTAAGAGGTTAATAGCTTGTTAAACTGGTATGGGATGGTGTTCCTAATTATCCACCCTGTTAAACATTAAGTGAGAACAAGTCAGTCAATGAAAATATATTATGTATAGTTTACTCTAAAAGTGGGGTAAAGTAGAATGAAGTATAAAGTCATGAATGTGATGTTTGACATAAAAAATGTCACAATTTATGTGCAGATGCCAAAATCATGTGTCATGACATGATTGAGTATTTTGATTTAGGCATGGGACTTAATATAGAAGTAGAATTCTCCTTCATCAAGACTTCTTCAATCAAAATATTTAAATCAAAGGATTTTAAAAATGATATGTTTCTGTCATTCACCATTTATCCCAGTTATGTCAGTTTGTTATATTTATAATAATAATCTTGAAAAACTTGAAATGCTTACCTTTCCAGAGATCCAGAGGCCTCTCAAAGAATGTATATTTGTCTTCTTTTATGAAGAGCATATATGTACTTAAGGTCCATGTACAAACATAGAAGATAAGTTTGAAAGCAGACTCTGGGAATTTCTTCTGGTTGAGCATACTCATCTGTGTATATTTGCCTAAAGGCTGCAAGTAGAAATGAGAAACATTTGAAATATATTTTAAAAGTAAAATTATTTGAATTGTTGTGGAGGACTTCAACTTCGCCACACATGTTTCATTACACAGACAGGAGGACAGACAGACAGAGGGTGATTTACAATAGCTCACACCATGTGATATCCATAGTTTGATTTTGCTTAAAGGCTTGGACACTCGCTTAAAATCAAAGATTTTCTGTAAAACTCTGGTGAAAAATCTCTGATGATGAACTATAAAATGGGTTGCCTTTATCATAACGAGCACGAGAGAAATATACTGCACCTCGCCTCAAGTGATATTGATACATTCATTATGGTAACAAGATGACAATATAGAGTAGTCTAGTCAGGAGAAGATCAATACAAATATTCAAAGAATCTGAGCATATTGATGGGAGATTGCATTCTAGTTTTTATGCACCTATCATTGTTTGACTAATTCAAAACAAAACTCCAAATATGCAGTACTTCCTTGTGATTCAAGGAATATTTCACAATAACAAAATAATTACATGGTCACAGAAAATGTCATTACCTTATCAACAACAAACTGCATGTTGTTGAATATTAAGCTTGTATACATAAATCAGAGTCAAAATAGAATCATTTTAAGGGAGATTGTTAGTGATGCAACTCCATATATCTGAATCTGAATACCTCTAATTGTTTTGTTTGGAGGTCTCCCAGTTCACACCACATGGCAACAGGACAGAAAAATTAGCATGTATATTCTTTCTACTCATGGTGTCCAGGAGAGAGCACTACAGAGCTCAGGAGAGAGCACTACAGAGCTCAGGAGAGTGCACTACAGAGCTCAGGAGAGTGCACTACAGAGCTCAGGAGAGTGCACTACAGAGCTCAGGAGAGTGCACTACAGAGCTCAGGAGAGAGCACTACAGAGCTCAGGAGAGTGCACTATAGAGCTCAGGAGAGTGCACTACAGAGCTCAGGAGAGTACACTAGAGAGCTCAGGAGAGTGCACTACAGAGCTCAGGAGAGTGCACTACAGAGCTCAGGAGAGTGCACTACAGAGCTCAGGAGAGAGCACTACAGAGCTCAGGAGAGTGCACTACAGAGCTCAGGAGAGTGCACTACAGAGCTCAGGAGAGTGCACTACAGAGCTCAGGAGAGTGCACTACAGAGCTCAGGAGAGAGCACTACAGAGCTCAGGAGAGTGCACTATAGAGCTCAGGAGAGTGCACTACAGAGCTCAGGAGAGTACACTAGCACTACAGAGCTCAGCAAACTATTCCGCATGTAAAAAATATTATTTCTATTTCTTTAATTCTGACTTTAAATGCAAGAACTTTATTCAAGCTTAGAATTTTATAAAAATTGGATTACCACTTTAGCCTGAAGTGTTAATTCTAGGCCCCATATTTGCAAGTGCCTTCATGACCTGTTTCCGTGTTTACATTTATTTAGACTCGTTTATCTATCATTTTATTTCATTGGTTTGTGTAATGTATGATCTTGGCATTGGTATGATCTTGACATTTATTTAGACTCATTTATCTATCATTCTATTTCATTGGCTGTGTAATATATAATCTTGGCTTTGGTGCATCTATACTCTGGCTAAACACAGACTTTCTGGCTTATTCTCACATTATAACTTAAAAAGTTAGTTATCTATTATTGAGTTATCTATTTTTCTATACCCTGATAATTCTATTTTTCTACATTATTCTACATATTAAAACTTGCATGACTTCACACATATGTAAGATATAGAATAATACTATTATATACTGATCATACTTTGTACTTTCACCTTGCCACAATCAGCTGAGATGAGACTCACAAAAGTCAGTGACAAAGTTTAGAACTTGAAAAAATTTGAACTTTGATACTGACAACAAAAAAGACTTGATACATATTCTAAAGTGCAAGAGTTCTTGAAGATTTTTGTTCTTGGGTTGCAAATGCCAAACAAAAAAATGTTAAATAAAATATTGACAAGTGAGACTTTTTTCAATACTGACTGTTTGATTTCCGGATGACCGATAAAGCATATCACAATCTAAAATAGCAAATGCCAAGTGGTCTATTTCACATTTTTATCTGAGCTTCACTCATTACAACTGGGCTTTAGGGTGCAAGAACACAGAAATTAATACTATATTTTCCACAAGATTCACAAGTGACCATTTACCAGTCTCTATATTATATTCTCCTCACTCAAACAGCAATTAGGCAGTTAATACTTTTCTATCTAATTTACTGCATTTCTGATACATCTGGATGATGATTAGCTCATAAAAAACAAATGCATTCGTTTAAGTCACCAGGCATGAGGATCTCTATCTCTCATTTTAGAATATGAGATCTCTATACAAGACAATGAATTGCATTTTTTGAATAGGAGTGCTCATTCTGATACTCATTGCATCTTTCACTGTTCCAATCTTCTAGAAAGGTTAGGTCTCTGTCATCTCTCACAATCATGACATGTACAGTATCCTATTCATATTATGCCTTTCGGTCATATAAAATACCTTGGTATATCAAGATGACAAATTCAAATAGATTTTGAGATAAGAATAGGTCACATATGTACTATAGAGTTCTAATTCTTTCATAAAGGTATCTATAGCTCGAGGATAAAAAACTTTTGACAATAAATACCAGTTTTAACCCATGTTATAGTAAGAACAACTTCAAATACACTATTAAAGTAAAACCTGTGAAAAAGGAACACCTTTGGTACCTCAAAAAGTGTTCAACTTGAGAGGTGTTCCACTTATATAGGTTTACAAGTTAATGTGTAACAGCATTTTCCACTTCAGGAAGTGTTCTACTTGCAGAGGTGTTCCACTTGCTGAGGTATTCCACTTGCTGAGGTATTCCATTTTATAGAGTGCATATCAAATCAATAATATTAGTGCTAAGGTACTAAGCCATAGGTTAATATTTGATGAAAGATCACCTGATCATATTATACCTCTTATTTATGTCTTAACTTATAACCCATTGATACACTAAAACCATCAAGAAGTACATAGATACGGGAACTGTTATGTCTTTCTCTATGCTTTTTATTACCTCATTTCCTATAAATAGTTTGATTTGAACAAAGAAATATACACCTTCTACTGATATAAAATCATGACTGACAGGAAAATATTATAGCTTGCCAGAATCCAGAATATTTAAAGGAGTATATGTCCAAATGAAATATTAACATTTAGAAAAACATAAAACAATTTTGCTTGGGGTATGGGATTAAAAACTCAAATCTGAATAAATCCTTGTAAGTAAGCATAGGAAATCTAAATTAAAATATCATCCTTTGCCTGGTGCAGTAAAGATTTGATGCGATAACCTATAAGATGGCAGGTCTTGTTTAATAACTTCTAATTAGTCTTAAATAGAATAATGAATCACTGTAGAAAATGTTGATTGTTAAATTGAAGTTTAAATCAACTGATACTCATTTGGCCGTGAGTATCATGTAAAGGCATAACCTGCAGTGGTAAAATTATATGTATGATTCTACATTATATAAAAGTAGGTAGAGCCCAAAGAGTTGGGCAACATATTTTTAGCAAAATATTTTCCTAAGCATTAATTTATCTTCAAAATGCACTGATAACTTGGAAAATTCACTGGTCGGGAATAAGAGCCTAGAACGTGAGATAAAGCTCTCATTAAAGAAGAAAAATCAAATTATTACAAAGGGTACTTGCCAGGAACATGTTTTGTGTTATGATAAATCAGAGTCCCCATCAAGTATTAGATACAGTGAGGCTCTGATAACCAGAATAAGGAGCTGTAGATGCAACAATGGCATATACTTAGTTATTAGCAAATGCAATATTTATTGCAGCTTTTATTTCATTTTTACCATTTACTTCATCAGCTACAATCAATTCATTCTCGGTATTGCTCACAGGGTTACAGAAGTTCTGGAAGGAAGGAGGGAACTTTTGTGTATGATTCTAAGGAAGGAGGGAACTTTTGTGTATGATTCTAAGGAAGGAGGGAACTTTGTGTTTGATTCTAAGGAAGGAGGGAACTTTGTGTATGATTCTAAGGAAGGAAGGAACTTTGTGTATGATTCTAAGGAAGGAGGGAACTTTGTGTTTGATTCCAAGGAAGGGGGGAACTTTGTGTATGATTCTAAGGAAGGAGGGAACTTTGTGTATGATTCTAAGGAAGGAGGGAACTTTGTGTATGATTCTAAGGAAGGAGGGAACTTTTGTGTATGATTCTAAGGAAGGAGGGAACTTTGTGTTTGATTCTAAGGAAGGAGGGAACTTTGTGTTTGATTCCAAGGAAGGAGGGAACTTTGTGTTTGATTCCAAGGAAGGAGGGAACTTTGTGTTTGATTCTAAGGAAGGAGGGAACTTTGTGTATGATTCTAAGGAAGGAAGGAACTTTGTGTTTGATTCCAAGGAAGGAGGGAACTTTGTGTTTGATTCCAAGGAAGGAAGGAACTTTGTGTTTGATTCCAAGGAAGGAGGGAACTTTGTGTTTGATTCCAAGGAAGGAGGGAACTTTGTGTATGATTCTAAGGAAGGAAGGAACTTTGTGTTTGATTCCAAGGAAGGGGGGAACTTTGTGTATGATTCTAAGGAAGGAGGGAACTTTGTGTTTGATTCTAAGGAAGGAAGGAACTTTGTGTTTGATTCCAAGGAAGGGGGGAACTTTGTGTATGATTCTAAGGAAGGAAGGAACTTTGTGTTTGATTCCAAGGAAGGGGGGAACTTTGTGTATGATTCTAAGGAAGGAGGGAACTTTGTGTTTGATTCCAAGGAAGGAGGGAACTTTGTGTTTGATTCCAAGGAAGGAGGGAACTTTGTGTATGATTCTAAGGAAGGAAGGAACTTTGTGTATGATTCTAAGGAAGGAGGGAACTTTGTGTTTGATTCCAAGGAAGGAGGGAACTTTGTGTATGATTCTAAGGAAGGAGGGAACTTTGTGTTTTATTCCAAGGAAGGAGGGAATTTGTGTATGATTCTAAGGAAGGAGGGAACTTTGTGT